TTTGCTGCCTGTCCTGGATCTCGCTCTGTAGACCAGGCTGGCCTCGAACTCACAGAGATCCACCTGCCTCTGCCTCCCGAGTGCTGGGATTAAAGTCATTCGCCACCACCGCCCGGCTCTTGTGAGTTTCTTAAGCAGTAGATTACTGACCCACTGAGAAAAATAAAAAAGGAAAATGCAGACAGAACACATGGACGCACGCGGTTTCTCTGCATAGTCTTGAAATTTGCCTTGTAGACCAGACTAGCCTTGAACCTTGAGACCAGTCTACCTCTGTCACTGGGACTGAAGGTGTGCATCACCATGTCTAGCTAGATGGAACTTTTGTGTTTGAAAATTATCTTTACTTTGATGGTAACTGGATCCTACTCAAGCTAAAATAAGCCATCTAGTGGCAACAATATGAACTGGAAAAAGAATAGCTCTAAGTTCAACACATTACTGGTGATTTCAAGCTCTAACCAAATAAACCAAACATTGTACACATGACTTTCATTTTTTTTGGCTGGTCAGAAAAGAAAATCTCCAGATCTCTGAATTATTTCCCTAGGGACTAGATAGGTGGCTCAGCTTTAAGCACTGATTGCTTTATGACAAATTAAATTCGATTCCCAGCACCCTCATGGTGACTAACTCCATTTCTAGGGGATCCAGTGCCTTCTTCTGGCCTCCAAAGGGCACAGGTCTGCACATGGTGTACAAATATACATACAGGCAAATTACTCATGCACATGAAGTAAAAACAAATCTTTTAAAAATGTTTCCCTACAGTCTAAATTTAGAAACTATTATTGCTAGCACTTGCTAAAGGAAATAAAAACTATACAAGTATAAATTTAAAAGTATATAGTATAAAACTAAAGTACAGTCTGTTTGCACTGCTATAAGAAATTTTTGTTGTTGACTATGTATTTTAGTAAAATTTCAAAGTTTTACTATTCTGTTTCTATTTTATAATTTCCATCATTGTACTTTTGTGATGTATTACTTAAGCATGTATAGCATATACCTACTTTGAAGTGCAAAAAACATCATGGCCTATTGATCTGAGGTTTCTAATCAGTCATAATCTCCTCGATTATTATTATAGATCAAACAGATGTTTTATATTAACCAAATTATTACTATTTCCAGTTTGAGTAGAAGATTATAGGGATTAACTTACATAGAGAGAGAAGGAAAAGCCATAAGCCCTGAACTAAAATACTATGACTATGCAAAAGGGCTCCTAGTGCTATATATAGTTTCACTTAAAAGTTTCAAAGTACATTTGGTTGTCAGATCCCAACTATTACTACACAGAAAATCTAAACATTAGTAGAATACAATAAAACATAGCTTTGGTATAAAAGAAAGAATTCAAACCATAATGCAAAATCCCTTTCAGAGTATAATTAGTCTTTTTCCGTGTTAAAGGAGATTGAGATTACTTAAATGTTCTGTGGCAGATAGAATAAAACAATCTTAATATTTAATTTTGAAAGTAACAAACCAACACACTTTTGGTGATCGAGGGTCTGGAGAACGAGCAAAGAGTTCATCTTCAGGCACCTGAACACTTGAGGACACCGATTCACATGGACGTGTACCATTGTAGATATGGAATTTGCAATGAGGATTTAAGGCCATGGCAAGAAGTTCTAGGAGTGGAAACCAGTCTTGGGCCAACTTAGCCACACATAGTTCCACCAGGCGATGGGTATTGTTAATAATACATCTCTGTTATACATGGGAGAAAGGTGATTCAGAATGTGAAAACATTGCAATTTCAAACCCAAGTTGTCATCCTAATTACCCTTATCTTAATATTAAATGAGTTCCTCATTTTTATGCTGATTACTTGAATTATATTTAATTCATTAGTACTATGACCAAATTCATTTGCTTTATAATGTCTATGGTGTGTACTTTCAAAAAGCTACTTGCTTAAAAATGAAATAGGTACTATGAGTTGCCAAATCCTGCTCTATCTCTTCAGGCAACATACAAATTCCCATTTTTTTCTCTCTTTGGAATTCTTACACTAGAAGCAACAATTCTAAAATTGAAATAATATAGCAGTTACCCCAATGGAAGACTATACACTAACAAGCTCTGTATTTCTAAATCTGAGAAATTACATTATGTTGGGACTTTTACCCCATCATCTTCACTGAAAAAAGTTTTAGACCAGAAAAATATCATCTGCTTTATGACTATCTCCATAGTGAAACAAATAACAGATTTGTAGCACTTATAGCATCTTATTAGTTCAGATACAACTTCTTTCACTCTCTAAGTGAAATCTGATTGCATCCTACAAATAACAAGTACTGAAGTATTTGCATTGCTTCTGTTCATAGTTTGGAGATATTAGGGCCCTAAGATCACTTTAAATAGTCTACTTAAAAGGGATGACTTTTTTCCTTTCCTGTCCTTTCTTTTTTTTTTTTTTTTTTTAAAATTGTCCATTCAGTTCTTTATTAGACCATCAGGTGTTTTAGACAGACACAGTATTACAGCTTCACAGAGTTAAACAAATGCAATATAAACAAAAGTAACACACCTTAAAATAACATTCTACTACAGAGAAAGAACAAAAGAAAAAATCCTGCATTGTTACAGGGTTTTACATAATCTTGAATGCTTCCTATATTCTCGGAGGAGGTCTGGCTGGCTGTCATGGATTCTCCCATAAAGTCTGGTTATTGCGTTGTAACTTGGCTTTTTTTTTTCTTTTAATGCAGAATGTGGTTTATTGAAGGAGGGAGGAAGTCTTAAATACAGGCTTACAGCACAATGGGAGAACCCCGGAGGGCAGAAGTTCATTGCCGAGGACAATGTTTTACAGTCTTGCATCTAAGCTGTTAATGCCCAATATGCAGGATACACAGACAAAGAACTTTCCCTTAAGCATTCAGGAGGGTGGAACCCAGCAGGGAATTAGCACAGGGAGGCTGTCAAGGTCAAGGTCAGCGGGATGACAATTTTAAATTGAATCCAGACTAAACAACTGTTTAAATAGTAACTCATGGCTCTGAAATATACATGTTTCTTTGCTGTCCTTTTCTGCAGTGATTACCTCTACAAACACTGATCTTTCAAGTCCCCCAGACATGCATTATATTTTCTCCATCTTGGGCAAGTTTTGCCTTCCTTAACAATATATAAAATGGCAGTACATCTCACAATTGACTGTATCAGATTTTCAATAAAATGGGGTGATCTGTCTAAGGTCAAAAGGCACTGGAGAACCAGGGAGAAAGATTAAACCCAGTAGTTTTTTGTTTTGTTTTGTGTGGTTTTTTTTTTTTTTCCCCCGAGACTGGGTTTCTCTGTGTAGCATTGTGCCTTTCCTGGGACTCACTTTTAGTCCAGGCTGGCCTCGAACTCACAGAGATTCGCCTGCCTCTGCCTCCCGAGTGCTGGGATTAAAGGCATGCGCCACCACTGCCCAGCCTAAACCCAGTAGTTTTAACTCTAAATCTCATGGTAGTTTTAAATGCCCATGCTGCCTCTAACAGAAATAATTCACTATAAAATTACTTTAAAAGTTACACTTTTATACTACAGTAGGCCAAATATATCATACACAAATACACACACACTTGACCTCCCCATCCAAAGAATCACTATATAATCTGCTTTTTAAAAGTCAAATGGAAAACTCACATGAATCTCAAACTTCCAGCTACTCACTGCTTCATCTGTAAGGATTTTTGTGAATGAGATTGTTAGCCCATCTCGGAAAAATCGCTGACATGCTTCGCTTTTAACATCAAGGCCTAAAAAGGGGGAGAAAAAAAAACATTATTTCACAATGCTCAACTGTGTGATGAAAGACCGTAAGTAATTGGAAACCTGGATGACAGGCTAGCAGTTGCAGTTCCAGAGTACTTCTGGTAAAAAGTTCATAGCATCATCATAACACTATTGTTATTTCAAAGTTTCTACACATCAGAAAGGAAATGATTCAGAAATAAAGTAATTTTTTAAAAATTATTTAAAGAACGATATATATATATATATATATATATATATATATATATATATATATGCGCGCTGAGTGTATACCACGTTTCATTCAGGTACTATAAGTAGCCAAAGAGGGGGTGTCTGACTCCCAGGAGCTGTTGTTATACGTGGTTAAGGGCCACCAGTCGTGGGTGCTAGGAACTAAACCTGGGTCCCTTTTCTTCAAGAGCAGCAAACATTCATAACTAACTGCTCAGCTATCTCTTCAGGCCTCCCAAATAAAATTCTAATTATGCAAAAGCACACTCGATGTGGTAATATTAACAATAACAGGGCTGGATCTACAGCTCACTGCAAGGGCAGCTACTCTAACATGTACAATGATCTTAGGTTTAATCATCAATGGAAGAAAAAATGAAGGCAATAAAAACTTAACTGATAATGTTACAATTTAATGCACTAAATATATCTTAAGCCCAAAATGATGGTCAGTACCATGTGACAGACTCTAAATATTTCATAGCATTTTGTTCTGAAAATAAGCCTTAAAATTTACATTCATAAGTATTTTTAAAATATTAGTTTGCAAACTATGTACTTAGCACCCACTCGTATCTTTACTATTCTCCAAGTGGTCAAATAAGATGAACTGTTTCATCTTTATTTCACTATCTATACATCTCTTTCTTCTTCCAAGTCAAGAATCTATTTTTTCCTTTTGTCTTTTTAAAAAATGCATTCTTTACGTGTGCGTGCACACATGCACGATTGAGGGGGTGCTAGGGAGTGCGTATAGAGGTCAGAGGACAACTTCTGTGGAGTCAGTTTGATCCTGCCACTTTTAAGTGAGTTCCAGGGGTTGAATTCAGATCACCACGCCATCTTTCCAGCCCTACACTTTTTTATCTTTACTTCATCTCATCTGATTTAAAAAAGACAACAGAGCCATGTGTCACCAATACAAAGAATGACTTTAACATCTCAATCTGTATAAAAAATATCTGATTTTGATTGTACAATAGGAGTGACATTGAAACTTTACAAATGGAGCATCATGTAAAATAAACTATGGTGCACAAAATAAGTATGGGAGAGGAATACAATCTACTGAATGTCAATGGCACTGACTGAAATATGTTTTTACTACATAGTTAATGTTTAGACTATAACTAGCAAAGTTCACTTCAATTGTGAGACACAATCATAATCTGATTAAACTTTTTTCATAGCTTTCAAGATTGGTAAGGCACAACAAACATTCTTTAATCAAAGGAGGAATAACTGATGTAAGATAAAAATTTCCCCTTGCCAGGGAGTGACATGTACCCAAGCAAGGTACTATAAAAATGTCAATTTTGACAATAACTAATACAATCGCTTATTGTTAGTTACGACACACCCAGAACAGTTATGTTTGGGTACATGTCTTCCAAAGGTTTGGTCGCCACTCTGTGGTGATATGGGGAGACTTGGCAAACGCTTGTAAAAGGTAGAATCTAGTGAGGAATCTGAAAAGTAGGGGTTTGCCCTCAAAAGTGATTGTGAGATCCCTTATCTCTCTCTCGTTTCCTGGACACCAAAAGGCGATCAGCTTTGCTCTACCCACACATTTTCCCCTGGCCCTAACTCTAACCCTATGAAATCTCTAGAACTGTGAGCCAATAAAGCTTTTGTGTGTAAGCTGTTTATTTGTTATCTGTCACAGTAATAAAAAGATAATACAAAAGACTATCTTAGAAAATAAATGTTGCTCCTTTTAATTTCCAGTGCCTTAGCCAGGTGGTGGCAGCACACATCTTTAATCCCAGCACATGGGAGGCAGAGGCAGGTGGATCTCTGAGTTCGAGGCCAGCCTGGTCTACAGAGAGAGTTCCAGGACACAGCCAGGGTAACTCAAGAAATTCCACTCCCTCAAATTCCAGTGCCTTAAAATAGCAAACTGAGCACCACTACTAAGAGAATTCAGCCATATCAGAAACAGACCAGAGTAATTTATTATTGTTCAATCCCAACATTAACCTTTTACTTCCCAACAACTGAGCACTAGATTCTTTTTATTGCGTTAAGTATTTCTTTTTAACGGAACCACTTTATAAGTCTTCTTTTCCTTAAAAAAATAACTTATTCTATTGTTTTAAAAGCTACTTTTATTTAAAAAACACATTGCTGGGCCAGCCATATGGTTCAGCCTGTAAAAACAGTTCCCAGAGAGGCTGAAAACCTTTCAGTCTCTGGGAATCACATGGCGGAAAGAAAAGAATCAACTCTTAAAAGTTCTTGATTGCCACATATACCATACCCTTCCCATAATGAATAAATACAAAGCAATCAACAAAAATAGAAATAAAAAATTCTTTGTTCAAAGAATCATAGATTAAGAGTCATGCATCCTTTAGTATAGTAATTTGCAGGTCTGCACATTACTTAAGACCAGAAATCCCTTAGGATGCTCACCTTCCCTCTTCTGCAGCTAGTTAACCTCAAATGATATTTGTACTATGCATCGCCTACAGAGTACTTAATTACAAAAACTTTTGTGTATATTATGGAATTCCCACAACAGGAATGAATCTTTGAGTGATTACAGATCTAAACAATGGACTTGCTATTTAGAAATACGAATACATATACCCTTTCTGTCTAGCACTCTTGAGGGTTGTCCTTTTTAAACAGATGTGAGCTCTATCTCTAAACTTACTATACACTTGTGTTTTAACAGGAAAATAAAGTTTTCAGGAATAAAGTGAAAATATATCTAGTAGCATGAATTTGGAAAAGCATGACACTGAAACATACCTTTCTTACTCAGATCAATAGCAGCTTCTAGAAGCACTTCTAATTCCCCTTTCGGCAAAACTGGAACGACCCATCGAGGCCTAGGAATTTACAAAATAAAGAGGCTTACTGGTTATGCACTAAATAAAAGACGTACTATAGTCAGTTACTAATTACAATTCATTATTTTCACTATGAAAACATTAAGTAGGCCGGGCGGTGGTAGCACACGCCTTTAATCCCAGCACTCTGTGAGTTCGAGGCCAGCCTGGTCTACAAAATGAATTTCAGGATAGGCTCCAAAGCTACACAGAGAAACCCTGTCTCAAAAAAAAAAAAAACATTAAGTATTAACTAAAATAACATTAAATATTAAAACAGTGGGGCTGGTTGAATCATTTTTTTTTTTTGTTGTTGTTGTTTGTTTCTTTTTTGGTTTTTCAAGACAGGGTTTCTCTGGTAGCTTTGGAGCCTGTCCTGGAACTCACTCTGTAGACCAGGCTGGCCTCGAACTCACAGAGATCCACCTGCCTCTGCCTCCCATGTGCTGGGATTAAAGGTGTGCGCCACCACTGTCCAGGGAATCACTTTTTACAATTAAGCATCATTTGTTGTCTCTACAAGCAGACTTCTACAAAATATAAAAGAAACTACAGAGGACTATTAGTAAATCTTCACAGTCAAAGACTTTCAGAATTCAGATTAGAAAAGGCATGCCTTGAAATTCCTCACAAAGAACAAAGTCTTCAGAAGGCTAAGACTGATTCATGCCTTATAATCTATCATGCCTTATATTCTATCAACTTTTTCTAAAGATGTGCAGAATCCAAAGGTGACTCTCCCTTAAACAAGGATGCAGCATCCTCTCTAGTTTCAGTGCTGACCCAAACATCTGGCCATCTATCCTTTTCATAGGCCTTCTCAATCATCACCATTTAATTCACCCATTGTTCCCCAGAAGAGTCAACCTTCTAGCCAACCACTGAAATCTCTCCTAAGAGCTGGTAAAATTCCCAACCACTCTTGCCCCTTGATTTAATAAAAGCACTTCATCAATAACCTATTAGAAACAAATAACTATCATCATTTATTTACAAATGTCCTTTGCATTTTTCTTCCATAAAGAATTGTTTTCATGCAACCTAGTATCTAACCTGCATATTTTACCAACCACCAGACAAAACTGAAATATAACAATGCAACTTTGTTATGTCATCTCTGCTGTTAAGAACAATCAAGGATTTTATAAATATCCTTAACATTGATTTGACAATAATTCATTGCATGCAATTATTACAAGCTGCTACTACAAGCTGTATATTTCTCTTAAATGTTCCCTTTAAAATGAGTCAATTGAGAGAATATTTCAAACAAGTAAAACTAGTTATAAAATTATAGTAAGATTTTATATTTATAGAAAAACTCAATACATACATAACAGTAAACACAAATATCGAAAAATGTACTGATTTATGTTAAGAGAAATTTTTGGTTGCGATATGTGGGGAAGGGGCTAGATAAATTTTATCTACTTACTATATATTACACAACATCGTTCTGGGCTTACCAATGCATACTAATTACTAAGAAATTCAGATTTTTGTTGTGTGTTTTTTCCAGATAGGGTCTCATTATATGTGTGCTCTCTGGCTGTCCTAGAACTTACTATGTAGATCAGTTTGTCCTTGAACTCACAGAGATCTTCCTGCCTCTGCCTCCCAACTGCTGAGATTAATTATGTGAGCCACTCCACCCAGCTCAGTTTTTTTAATGCAAAGGATTTTTATTTCTCCATACATGAAGTTTTGACTTTTATTAAGTAAAAAGGCAAAATGCCTATATTTTCATAATTCTTTTAAAAATGCTCTCAGTTTTAATCAATTAATTTTTGTGTATGAGTGCTCTGTCTGCATGTATTTTTGGTGCCTTTAGAGGCCAAAAGAGCCTGGACTCCCTTGGTCTGGAATAATAGATAACAGCTATGAGCTGCCATGTGGGTGCCAGCAATAGAATCAAAGTTTTCTGGAAAAGCAGCAAGTGCTCTTCATGGCTGAGCCATTGCTCCAGTGCCCACTACTCTTTCTGAGGGGCCCTTGTTGAGCTCACACTACCCAGTGTGGACTACACTCAGATAGGGTTTTTTTGTTGTTGTTTGCTCTTCTGTTTCTTTACATCCTTTCCTTACCCTGAAGAACAACTTAAAAGTGTCATTCTCTTGAGTCAGCATGAAGGGCATCCTCTGAGAAACTCCTTATGACCTGGTTTGCTTCAGGGCTACCCTAAAGTTATTAAAGTTACACAAGAACCAACATGCCCACTGAAAAGAAGCTTCAACAACTCTTAAAAAGGCAAACTACACAAACAGTTCTACTTTGGAAATGAACAACTAGGGCCATATAGTTAGCTTCACTAATGTTCTCGCTCTTTTTCATTATATCCAATAAGAACCATCTATTATAAAGTACTTGATAGTGACTATGATGGGAAGATTAGGCAGTAGATTCCTCTTCACCAGTCTTTGTTTTACCTATCACATATAATGCTGAAAAACTTGGTTTTCTTATGCATTATACACACTAGAAACGAAAACAACTGACCTGTTGATCATATCATCTAACTTTGCCAAGTCAGTATGTGGAAATGCAGGTTCCTCATCTTCAATCTGTGGAGGGGCATCACCTTGACCTTGCTCATCAGGAGGAGTTGCCGGGGAATTCTCATTGGAAGAATCAGGCGATGAAGTCTTGATTAAAAATTAAACATTCCAGATATAAGTTTCTATAACGCACGCGCGCGCGCACACACACACACACACACACACACACACACACACGTCCAAACATTAAGAGATTAGCATTAGTTTTTAAAATGTTAGTAGCATAAAATTTTACAAGGACATCATTGAAACCTTATGATTTAATATATTCTTTCAAAGTTTGTGCTGGATTAAAAGATGAAGTAGCCACCTAATAAACTTTTACACTAAGGAAGGAGAACACAACTAAGTCACCAGGCAGAGAATTCAAATGCTAGAAGCCCCATACAAATAGCTAATTTGAAGTCTATAACTTTAGTAACCTGTTTTGTTTTAAACAACCAACAAAACACTTTGTCCTGTATTTACATGCTCACAGAAAATAGAGACAAAACCAATTTTAAACATCTATGATACCACACCAACAAACAAAACACCAGCAATGACATTTTAATTACCTCCTTGTGATCTTTTTATGAACTAAAGAAAAACTGTCCATGTATGTATAAATTTTCAATAAAATTGGGACTGTATCTGTCCCTTTTCATTCAATATCTAAGTAGTCAAAATTATCAGCATTACATAAATTAAAATTAATACGAGTCTGTCATGTATAAATCTTGTAGAAAACACATTTTTCTTTAAGACAGGACACTAGAAATATTAACTACAACAGCATAAACAATTTCTTTAAAAACAATTGGCATACATAGTCAAATTACATTCTAGAACCTTCTCAGATACATCTGAGGAATGCTCATCCCACTTGTCACTGGTTTTTATGACATACTAGGAGTCTTAAAATTTATTCAATATGTACAGCTTTTAAAGTTAAAAATTTGATTAAGAAATTCCCTTTATGGGTCAGTAAGATGGCTTATTAATGCTCTTGCCACTGAGCCTGATGACTCAAATTAAACACCCAGAACACACATTGTACAGAAGTGGCTCCCTCAGGTTATCTTTTAATTTCTCTTATGTCAGTACATGTAAAGCTTATGAAAAACTGAGCCCTGGACTGGAGGGATGACTCACCCACTGTTCTTTCAGAGGACTAGAGTTCAATTCCCAGCACCCATACCAGGCAGATCTCACACCACTTCTGTAGGTATCTGTACTTATGTGTACCCACACATAGATGCACATACACACATATAATTAAAAATAACAGAAAGAAACAAACAAAAACTAAGCCCTAAATCAGGCGCTGACTAAATCTTTGGTTGCTTCTTTGTGGTCCAACAGTATCAGAGATTGTGAAATAATTAAAATACTAACATTACATAATATAAAATAGCCTGGGTAGTGGTGGCACACACCTTTAATCCCAGCACTTGGGGAGGTAAAGGCAGACGGATCTCTCTGTAGGTTCAAAGCCATCCTGGTCTACAAAGTGAGTTCTAGAATAGCTAGGGCTACAGAGAAACACTGTCTCAATAATCAAAACCAAAACATAGCAATAAGAAACAATGAGAAATTTTATAGGCAAACAGAGTGGTTCTATAGGTAAGAATGTAATTTGCTTTTGTTCTTTTGTTTTAAAAATGCAAGTTATCTTCAATAGATGAACACAATGTGCATATATTAATGTAATAGACATGTAATATTACTATCACAAACCTAAGACCTCTAAAAATCAAGTATATTTTAAAATAAAAGTAACATGTCTTTTTAAAACACAGATTTGTTTATTTATTATGTATACAGTGTTCTGCCTACATGTATGCCTGCACGCCAGAAAAGAAAACTTGATCTCATTATACATAGTTGTGAGCCATCATGTAGTTGCTGGGAATTGAACTCAGGACCTCTGGAAGAGCAATCAGTGCTCTTAACCTCTGAGCCATCTCACCTCTCCAGCCCCTAATAATGTGCTTTTAATCCCGGGACTTGGGAGGCAAAGACAGGAGGATCTCTGAGTTTAAGGCCAGCCTGGTTTACAAAGGGAGTTCCCGAACAGCCAGAACTACATAGTGAGAGACCCTGTCTCAAAACAAAACAAGTGTAATGTTAACAAACAGGATTTCTTTTCACTGAAAAGCCCTGCAAAGCCATGAAAATTGCAAAAAGAGGTTAGAATCCACACACAATACAGGTAATAAAGCAGAAAAAAAAGAGAGAAAGATAAACTACTAGCTCCTGGTTTAAACATAGTAAACATTAGTATCCAACAGCCCTTTGACTATATTTAAAGAAACAAATACTGGCCTTCAAATTTATGGGACAGGAAAGACTATTTTGTCAAATTTTGTGACCATGTACATTACCATTTTATGTCTCAAAAATGGGAATTAGAAAAGGAAATGAATTAACAAAGTTGGCACATTTGGGATGGAGGACCTGGCTTGCTCATTTCTCTCAAGTGGCAGAGGAAGGGGAGATAGAAAGAAAAAAAGGCCTTTTCTACCAGACTAAAAATAGAGTATGAAGCCTGTAACACCTGAACAGTAAAAACCTAGCCCCAAATCACAAAGTACTCTACAATAATAACACTTTTGCTTTAAAAGTTATCCATACAAACCCCACGAAAATGTGTATCTCTGTAAGCAGTGTGTCTGTTATTCATGTATACACAAACCAACTAGTTTACCCCAAACACCACTACAGGAGCTGCATTATCACAATCTTACTCTTTGGCTTATTCAACCTAATTCTTCAAAGTATAAAACTGTATAGATTAGAAAGGGTTAAGATAAATTTCAGGAGATGAAAACAAGAAAATTAAGAAAAAAGAACGTAAAAAACAATTAAATAAGGTTTTGTAAAAGCATGTGGTGTTTTTTTATGGGGGGAGTTATTATAAGTCTCCCCAAAATGATTTTTTTGGGGGGAGCAGCAATGTATTAATGAAATTAGTAAGCCCCTAGAAAGATTGATCAGCAGAGAGAATACAAATTAGTAGTATCAGAGATGAACAAAGACAGACCCTGCCACAAACCCCCATATATACTTAAAAAAAAATAGTCAAAAGGATATTACAGGGTCTGGGGTAAGAAGCAGTTTCAAGTTATATAGTATGCACTTAGCATATGCAAAGACCTGAGTTCCATTCCAGCACTCAAGATCACAAACAGTATTATAAACAACTGCATTTAAATAAAGTTGGCACTCTAGATGAAGTGGACAAAAATGACCAAGACAAAGAAAATGGTTTTTTGTTTTATTAAGAAAATCCTCCTTTAAAAAGATGGATCTAGGCTGGGCATAGTGGTTCACACCTTTAATGCCAGCACTTAGAAAGCAAAAGCAGGTGAATCTCTGTAAATTTGAGACCAATGTGATCTACATTGTGAGTTCCAGGACAGCTAAGGCTATGTAGAGAGACCCTGTCTCAAAAAACAAAAAAAGATGGATCTACATAGAAAATCTGTTTACAAAATCAAGTTTTTTTTTAATTAGTAAATTTTACTAGTAAAATCTTCCAACGGGGAATAGACATCAGAAGAACCAGAAACCTTACATAAGTTGATTGAGAAAACAGAATAATAATATTACTTTAAGAGCTTTAGGGCAAGCAAAAGATTGACCCAGTATCTATGCTAAGGTCTTTACAAACATTATTTCATTTGATCCTCAAACAATGCCATGAAGTTCCATTACTGTTATCCCTATCAAATGAAGAAACTGAGGCTTCGAGATTATATAATTTACCCAGTCATAAAGCTGATATGGTGCAAAGGTGAAATTTGATTTGAATGCCAGTAATAAGACTTTGGTCCATAGTCTTTAAAAATCTTATTGTGAATTGACAATTTATGATTTTATATATATGCCATACAAAATGGAGTTCTGATTTACTTGGTCCCATAGGCTACACTGAATAATACAATGGTTTCTCCCAGAATCTACAGAGGACTTAAATCGTTCATTTTATTAAAGACTGACAATGTAAGACATCTGAAAAAGACATGAAAAAAAAAAAAACAATGTTGCTGAAGCACTTGAGTTTTTTTGTGACTGCTGAAGACCTATATTTACTTTTCTTAAACAAAACATTCAGTTTATGGTTGCTTCACAATCATTTCTATCATGTTTCCACACTCAGCACTCAAGAGTATAGGAGATATACCAATGTGTCTTTATCTTTAATGTCTTACCTGATTCTGTTGGAGGGGGGGCTGAGACTGTCCATCAGGAGCTTGGCCCTGGTTGTCATTCCCTCCAACTGGAGAGCCACGAGTTGTGGCTGTCATACTCGACACAGGGCAGATCTTTGCAATTTTGTCTGCTTATGTAGTTGTCTTAAGAAAAGAAATTATAGTCCACTTATAGAAGATGAAGTACCAGCATTTGTCAGTCTTAAAAAGCTCCAATTCAAGAATAAAACATCTTGCAGAGACCATTGCATAACCTACAAATAGAAGGGAAAAGAGAACATTTTGTTAAAAGATTTATTTATTATGTATACAGTGCTCTGTCTGCATGTATGCCTGCAGGCCAGAAGACGGCGCCAGATCTCAATACAGATGGTGGTTAGCCACCATGTGGGTGCTGGGAATTGAACTCATGACCTCTGGAAGAACAGCCAATGCGCTTAACTGTTGAGCCATCTCTCCATCCCAAAGAACATTTTATTTTAGAAATAACTAACATGAACTATAAAAACTGTTCAGCCGGGCACATGCCTTTAATCCCAGCGCTTGGGAGGCAGAGACAGGAGGATCTCTGTGAGTTCGAGGCCAGCCTGGGCTACAGAGCGAGTTCCAGGACAGGCTCCAAAGCTACACAGAGAAACCCTGTCTCAAAAAACAAAAACAAAAAAAAAAAAAAAAACTGTTCAAGTTTATTATCACCATTCAATCAGGTCAAGAGAACATGACTATATAAATTGACAGGTGAAAAGTGAAAATCTAAAACTTCATTACTTAAACTAATAACGGTTCTGTAACTATTATACCACAAAACCATACAAGTCTAGCTTTATCAATTAATATTTCAATTTTCTCCTGTAACTGACTCCAAAGGCAGTATCAAGAAGCTAGCTGCCACTCACTTAAATCATGGAATGGTAAACTGTCCTTAACTGGCTAATAATGTCTTTCGTATACTGCAAAAGCATGTATTCTCAGCACATAAACACAAACTGAATTGTAAATTTAAGAAAGACCACTCAACTAACAAAGATAACAACTTCAACACCCACACACAGAGAGAAACAAACAAGCAAAACTATCAACACCCAGACCTCGGATTTCAGATTCCCTAATTGTGAGAAATCCAAGCTCTATTGTTTACTTCCCACCCTCATTCCCAAACCAAAAGATCTTAAACCTCGTCATACCATTTTGGGGGGATTTTTCTTCGTAAACAGTAAAGTGTGTAACCTATGTGTACCCTAATACAACTTAATTCACCAAGTAACCTTAGTGTTTTTTTTTCCCCACTTTTGATAAGTTTTTCATCACAAGCACCCCTGGAGCCCTATCAAGGCAACAGGTCCCAAACCCCGAACAACAAGCATTCTTTGCAAACTAACAAAAAAAAGTGCACAGACTACTACCAAAATTTTAATTCCATATTCATTAGACCACTTAGTTTCTTTTGTTCTGCAGAGTAATAAAAGTACCTCTGGTGTTTTTCAAGAGGTGCTTTTAATGGCACTGATATCTAGTTTTCTCATCAGGTAGAATTAGGCCTATGCCACACTTAAAAACAACAAAAATCTCCTGTGATTGAGTGTAATATACCACCAGATTAAGAAACTGATTCTTTAATCTGTATTTGGGTCTAATTTTCACTACTCTCACTTTGCCCACAATAGCTCATGTATCTTAAAATTGAAGTATCACCTAACCCAGTCAACTCCTTGGCTCTGTGAGAGATTGTCTATAAGCATTATGAACTTTCTATTCATAACCTGGCTTAAGACATCCAACATCAAATATACAGCATGGTATATAAAACATAATTGGAGCTCCTGTGCTTCAGCATCATAGATATAAAGTGCAGAAGACTTTCAAGCACTTTATACAACTCATTTGTTTCTCCCATGTGTGTACTACAGAAGGTATTATTTTCCCCTTTTCACAGAGTTAAAAATAAGAGCTGCAGTTTATTCAAATCTATTTAGAGCCAAATCTAATTTGTATCTGCCTCTACATTATGTCTTCTTAAAGGAAAAAGGAAAAAGTGTACCTTATCAGTGGGTTAATGAGGAAAATGAAATAGTGACTGGTATACGTTTCTGATACCTACTTTTTCAGTATGTATATGTAGGACTGTTTTGTCTGTGCAAGCAGTAACCTCAGAGGCCAGAAGAGGGAGACAGATCCCTTGTAGCTGGAGTTAAGACTTAGACACTACAGAGTTCTGGGAACCAAACCCAGGAGGCTCTGATCTCCTGTAACTGGAGTTATAGACAGTTGTGATCTGCCATGTGGGTCCTGGGAACTGATCCGGCAACTTATCAAAGATTAGTAAACCGCTAAGCCATCTCTCTTGCCCACCATATACACCAACCACTGTAGACACAAACACACAGACAAGACACACCTCCTTCCTTATGTATGTATTCAAAAGTCCTATCTATAGTCAAACCAAAACTATTTGGCAAAAGTGATGGGAAAATCATCCCATACAAAAGCACTACATAGATTACTAAGGGGCAAAACCACAGAAGTCTATCAATCAAAAATTTTTTTGATGATAGAGATGTTTCCTAAAACTAAACTTTTCAATGAGTTATTTCCTCATAAGTATTCTAAAACATAACTAGTGATATTCATAAAAATTACTTATTTTTAAAAATTAAGTAAGTTTTTTTTAATAAGCTGGGGAGATAGCTCAGTGCATAAAATACCTGATACACAAGTATGAGGACCCAAGTTTAATCTTCAGAGTTAATCTTCAGCACCCCCATCAAGGTCCAGGCAGCAGCACATGCTTGTGATCTCAGTGCTGGGAGATAGAGATAGGAGGATCCCTGGGGTTTGCTGACCAGCTACTGTAGCTGAGTCTTTTGAGTTCCAGTTCAATTAGTGCAGATGCTTGCCACCAAGCTTGACAACCTGAGTTTGATTCCTGGGATCCACATGGTGGAAGGAAAGATCCAATTTCTGTCCTCTTACCTCCACACACGCTATAGCTAGCGCGCGCGCGCGCGCGCGCGCGCGCGCACACACACACACACACACACACACACACACACACACACACACAGGAACACATGCAGTAAGAAATTTAAAGGGTATGGAGAGATAATAGCAGTTAAGAGCACTGGCTGCTCTTGTGGAAGACTCAGGTTAGATTCCCAGCATCTACAAGGCAGTTCATAATCCTCTGTAACTCCCAGGGGATCAAATGACCTCCCCTGGCTTTCTCAAACACCAAGAATGCATGTGGTACACAGACATATGTAGGTAAAACACCTAGACACATATTTTTATTAATTAAAAATAAATTTTAAAAAATTAATAAGGTCGAGAGTAATTAAGGAAGATAAACCAACATTGACCTCTGGCACCCGCACAGACACACAAAAATTTATAAAAATTATTATTCAGTGGTCACATGAGAGGTCATGCTATGGAGTTTTGAAAAACTTATAATTTAACAGTTTAGCCTATAGCCATAAACACAAACATTTCTAAGCAATCCTATTTTAAAAATTTTAAAGTTGCCTGGAAGTGTTGGCACACGCCTTTAATCCCAGCACTCAAGAGGCAGAGGCAGGCAGATCTCTGAGTTTGAGAACAGCCTGGTCTACAGAGTTGAGTTCCAGGAAAGCCAGTGATACAGAGAAACCCTGTCTCGAAAAACAAAAACAAGCACACACCCACACCCCAAATAAAAGAGGAAAGGGGAAAAGAAGAAAAAGTTGAAGTTATGTTTTAGTTTTCTTTGGTGGGGGCGTGGATACCAGGGCACACAAACAAACCTCAGGGGACAAGTTGCTAAAACTCAGGTCTCAGCTTCCACCATGTATCCTAGGAATTGAACTTGGGTTGTCAGGTTTGGAAGCAGGGACCTTTATCTGCTGAGTCATCTCACTGGACCCTCTCTAACCATTTAAACTTTTAAATTTAACCTTTCCTCAAGAATAAAAGATTTCATTGTCCTAGCTTTCAATACTCCTATAATTACCAGTATATGAACTCATCATTCTGAATTCTGGTTTCAAACATTAAGAACAAGGTTCCAAGTGTGATGCCAGTTCTAGACAACTTCACAACCAATCAATTCAGAAAATGCAAATGAAGAGGTTCAACTAAATATTCACATTCTATTTTCAGCGCTATTTATAGCCCTCCACATATATTTTGTAACTAAGTCACCGTCATCTATCTATGGCTCTTTCCTAAGGATAACTTCCTAGAAGTTATGCAACAGATATGCACCCTGCACTTGAAATTCCTTATGGCAACAGAAATGTACTCAACTTAGAAATGCTTGATAATTAGTCAAATTCTCTTATTCAGGCCTTCTCCATGGCGAGGTCTGCAAGTCCTACACATACACAATTATGGTACTGAAAGCTTCAGTAATGTTAGCATCCTTTCTAGGCATTTTCAAAACCAACTTTTCAGTGGTTGTTAATTTGATGAATTTTAAATTAAAAATGACTTCAAGAATGGTGACATCAGAAGCTTTGATGGGCAGTTTCCTCAGTAAAACTACCAACAGCAGGTGAGAAAAAAAATTAAGTCTCTAGAAATTGTCTTTTTTTTTTTTTTGGTGATATATATTTTTTATTTTACAATACCATTCAGTTCTACATATCAGCCATGGGTTCCCCTATTCTCCCCCCTCCCACGCCCTCCCCTTACCCCCAGCCCACCCTCCATTCCCACCTCCTCCAGGACAAGTCCTCCCCCGAGGACCGTGATCGACTTGGTAGACTCAGTCCAGGGAGGTCCAGTCCCTTCCTCCCAGACTGAGCCAAGTGTCCCTGCATAAGTTCCTGGTTTCAAACAGCCAACTCATGGAATGAGCACAGGACTTGGTCCCACTGCCTAGATGCCTCCCAAACTGATCAAGCCAATCAACTGTCTCACCTATTCAGAGGGCCTGATCCAGCTGGGAGCCCCTCAGTCTTTGGTTCATAGTTCATGTGTTTCCATTCATTTGGCTATTTTTTTTTTCAATAATTGAGTAAAACTGAAATTTATTATATGCCACAGTCGTCCTAGGGACCTCCATGCTATATATATAGCCTCTATGGTTCTATGGGTTGTGGTCTGATTGTTCATTTTATATCTAGAATCCACCAATGAGTGAGTACATACCATAACTGTCTTTCTGGGTTTGGGTTACCTCACTCAGGATGATTTTTTCTAGTTCCATCCATTTGCCTGCAAATTTCATGCTTTCTAGAAATTGTCTTAAGGACATATAATAAACTACAAAATTTTT